ATCACAATAGACCAGAAATGGTCGCAGTGATACAAAATAGCCGCTCAACAGAAATAAAAAAAAAAAAAAAAAATATTAAAAATGCAACTCTACAATAGTAAGACCGATGTTTAGAACTTGATGCCGAATTCAAAGAAAAGGTACATGCTTACATCATAATGCATATTTCGCATTACCCGTTTAATAATAACAATGTCAAATTCTATGGTACCAGGTAGAGGGAAAGTATAGCTTTTACTATTACAGATCCATCAATATAAACCGTCCGGTCGGTCCGTTAACTTCCTTTATTTTTAAATAAAACTATCTTTTCGGATTTTTTCACGAATTTATTTTGATTTTTGGTTCCCGACGTTTCGAATGCTTTACAGCAATCATGGTCACGGGAGAGACTGGGGTGTGGTATTATATAGTTGTTACAGACAGCCTACCCACAAATAACAAAATGAATTCAAAAATTTATATAATTTTAATTTGTTTTAAAATTGAATATGGAATATTATTTATTTAATTTGAGCTGTTATTATTATAATTATTACAATTTAAAAAATATTAATTAGTAATCTACATTTTTAGTGTTGGCATTATTATATTTATAACCATAAAGAAAAAATCATAATATATTAATTATTTAAGTCACATAATTGATCTATGTGTAATTTGAAAAAGTTAAGATTAATTAAAAATAATAATTTAAATTTCAATTTGCTAATTTTTTAAAACAAATTATTAAGCAACACATTACTACATACATTCCTTTATTTTGTTGATATTCGCATAATATTGCGCAATAGTGTCGAAATAAATGAAGAATCAATTTTATTTTTTTAGTGGATTTGATTTAGAAAAAACTAAATAAAGACCATTAAAACTATTCTATACGGTGACAAAGTTGTAAAAAAATGGCATTTTTTAATTTATATTCTTAAGTTTACATAATATTATTTAACTGTTTAATAAAACAGATTGTCATTTCTATTTTTGCAAATTTCGTTTTAATATTTATATTTACTGTATGTAAGGAGTATGTAAATATAATACTAAAATATATTCGGGGTATAGATAATTCCTTGATGAATCATAGAATACTATAATAAAAAAACAACGTAACGTAACCTCCCGCGTCGGTAGTCATACCGCGCCTTCGCGTCGCGGCGCAACGTACTAATACTTTTTCATATTTCAAAGTTTTGGCTATTTAATAAGCCACCGAGCTTCAATTAAATACAAAAAAAAATATTACCTTTGTATCCGACCGGGATTCGAACTCGGACACTTATTCAATCTTGCGCCTTTGTCGCTTGACCATGATGCTTATATCCGAGCGTGCGAAATTATCGAACATAATATTTTGCGTGGAATAATGCAAAAGAAAACCGCATGAAAATTTGAAAACACGCGTTTTCCCAGACATATAACTAATCTAGATCGATTTATCGCCAACGAAACCACTTGTATACTAAATTTCATGAAAATCGTTGGAGCCGTTTCCGAAATTCAAATTATATATTGATATATACAAGAATTGCTTGTTTAAATATATTAGATATAACAGTTAATACGTAAGGTAAATTAATTTAATAGAGACTGAGAGAAGATTCTCAATACGTCGGAATCTTTTTTTTTATGTATGCTCACCGATTGCTCAAAGACGCCTGAACCGATTTGGATTTTTTTTTTGTTTCGAAAGGTATTATACTTCCCAGGTGGTCCTATTTAAATTTTATCGAAATCGGTCGAGGGGTTTTTAAAATGGAACAATACATTATTTTTTAAAATAAATTGCTTAATCGAATATTTAAAAAAAAAATCTTCTTACAAATTACCTGCTTAATACGTCTACACTAAGAATGGAAAAATAAAAACTTAAAAAAAAGTAAAAACCGACTTCCACGGACTAAAATATAAAAAATAACTAAACGGGGGTTTTCATTTAGAATAGATACCTAATTAGATATTATCGAAGTCGGTGCCAGCCGACAATATTTTGAGATATGAATATCTAACAGGTAAATATGATTAGGTATGAACTCTAATTATAGTTAAAATATTATACATCAATTTGTAATGTATTTTACGTATCGAAACATATTAGATTTACTTTGTATCGGCATTACATTTTACTGCCTGCCAGTCGGTTTATTTTGGTTCTGAATATTACTTATCTATTAAATAGCTTTTTGAAAGCTTTATGGCCGATTTCAGCAACGTCACCTAAGTTTAAGGGATCTTAGAAGGTGGGATATTAGTAAGTTATTTGTTTAAATACATATTTATTTATTCACAAAGAATCACTTCGGTTCAAAAACAAAATCGTGTTCCAAAACATTTATTCACCGTCATTATCGCGCTCACGCACTCTCCTCGAGTAAACTCAGCTTCACAAAGGTACTTCTGAATAACCCATCAGTGATATGAATTACACACACTGACATATTAGGTCTGGCGTCGATGGAGCTTAAACACTTCAATGAGTGATTTCTTATCAATGGACTCAAATAAATCAAAATGAAATCAACAATTCTTTATTTAATTATTCTTCTTTGTTATTCAAAAACTCTACCTGTAGTTCAGAAGAAAGTGCTTTAGTTCAAGGAAGAAAATATTGTTTTTTTTTAATAATATAATTTATGAATATTTTGCGAAAATAACCTACGGTTACAATGATATTTGTAAATATTTCGAAAAAATCATGCTTTCCGAGGTTACCGTAATAAATACGAAGAGAATCTAGGGACATTAATGTTAGCTAAAATTAAAGAAAATTGTATAATTTTAAATATAGCGAAAGCATTGCAAGTGGTTTGTAATTTATGCTATAAAACTCTCACCATTTGCATTATTTTGTTAATGTTTGAGATCCCACGGGCCGGCAGCCTTGGCGCGGCTTCACGTTTGAATTACCCATGATAATTGTTCAACAAAGTCCGCCTGCTTAAAATTTTTACCTTCATTTTAAATTACAAGGGAATTGTATAATAGCTCTAGGTTATATTTTAAACAATTGTGAAGTCGAAGTAGTATTTTACAAAAAAAAAGAAAGTTTTTAGGATTCCAATTTATACTGAGTCAATTTCACTGATATATATCAGTACATTTATTATTTTCAACCGACTTCAAAAAGGAGGAGGTTCTCAATTCGACTGTATTTTTTTTATGTTTGTTACCTCAGAACTCCGTCATTTATTAACTGATTTGGACAATTTTTGTTTTGTTTGAAAGGGTATACTTCCAGATTGGTCCTATTTAAATTTAAAAAAAATACCACCCCTAAGGGTAGCTAAAAATATAAAAAAATATAAAAAATATAAAAATAGCTAATGATGAATTTAACCTACTTCTAATTGTCATATTGACTTGAAACTTTGCAAGTGTTTCTATTTCCGTTGATAGTACAGTGGTTTGGTATTGTTGACCTGATCTGATGGCAAGGCCAGAAGGTGGATAGGTGGAACTCTTCAACGGCTAATAGTAGATACTTTGAGTTTGGGCTTATTTTGTTTGATTCGACAAGCCTAACACGTTAGAATTCTTACTTTGCTACTACTGTCTACACTAAAAAGGGAAAAATAAAAACTTTTTAACAAAAAAATAAAAACCGACTTCAAACAAAAGCACTAAAAAGTAAAAATTAACTGATTGGTAGTTTTCATTACCTAATCAAATATTTTCGAAGTCGGTGTGCTTTGGCTAAGTAATTAAAGCCTACCTATTAAATACATAACTAATCAAATATTTTCGAAATCGGTGCCAGCGTATAAAGCAAAGCACACCGACTTCGAAAATACTTGATTAGGTATGTATAGTAAATGAAAACTACCAATCAGTTATTTTTTACTTTTTAGTGCTTTTGTTTGAAGGCGGCTTTTATTATTTTCTTAAAAAGTTTTTATGTTATGAACAGGTATGCAATAAAGTAAATTCGAAACAGCTAGGTTTCATTTCAATCTGGTTAGTACATACAAATTTCAAAGAAACACCTTAGTGTCACGTCTTGTGCACTCTAATTACTACCCACTAAAACCCAACAGAACCTCCGCCGTCTTAACGAAGCGTCGCAGGAACGTTTACGCACTCAACCGACCACGACGCCCTGACGGCAGGTCTGCTAAAACAGAACACACAACCACCAACACACACAACTAACACCGAAGTGGGCCACCTCCCGACCTCCCTGTGTGTATCTTGACTTCGCGCCCGGCTGGGTTACCGGACCAACTACCTTGCCATTTACTTGGCTCAGCCATAGTTACTCATATATACTAATATACCTATGTAGGTACTAATTGTTGTTAAAGAAAGAAGGCCGATTGGAAAATCGCTTAAAATGTAATTATACTATAAACATCCACCGTTAGGGATGAAAAAATTTCATAAATCATAATTCACATCTTAAATGGCACCATCGTTCTTGATTGGATTTATAGTGGTCGAAATTCGACCACTAAGCGAACAATAGTAAACGGAAATCAACGCTAATTTTCAAAGTTTGCTTAAAACAGTAAATACCGAACAACACTGACGTGTGGTCAACGTCACTCTTAGATTACGTAATAAAAAGAATAAAACTTAGTGCGAGTTGGACTTGCGGACGGAGGGTTCCGTGCATTCATACAATATATTTATATTATGAATTTCAAAGCAAATGAAGGTTGAAAATGTAGCATCTTAAAATTGATCATTTTTTTATTATAAATTATTGTTATAATTAAAAGAATATATATTTATTTTTACATTTATTTATTTACATACCCCTCAGTTGTTATTTTTTCTTTAATTTTTTTATTTATATATATGCCTAATTAGATAAAAAAAATGTAACTATAGATTATTGGAGAAACGAAGGCTTAGAAACAGGATCTCGGTACAAACTTTTGATTACGGACCTATAAAATTTAAACCGTGCCTATTATAAAAATAACGTTGTTTAACATAACTTCTTAAAACACTCTAAAATATTCTTCTCATTCATATATATTTTACATATATTTCTGTGATCATAAAACATTTTCAGAACCACTCTCATCTGACATTTCAGAATTTTTTTTAATCACATTTTGTTTTGCTTTAATCAATTGCATTAAATTAACTTTCTGCATCGTCACTCTGACGAGGTCCTTAAGGATCTTTCTAATATCCTCATCTTTTGATATAAGGCTTTTAATGTTCTCTCTTGTAAAACTTAGACCTCTTCGTTGTGGTATAGTCGGTGACAATTTTGGTTGGTCTTTCCGTCGTTCTTTCTGCATATTAGGCTTTAAGATTGGTGGAACTTTCGGTTCTAATTTTTGAGCCTGTCGTGCTGGAGCTATCCTTTGACTGTCCACGCACTGGTCTCCGCAGCACATTGTGCATATCATTTTACATTGTTGAGGAGGCGACGATCGCATCTGCTGTACGGGGGTCGCAGTTGGCCTTTGCTTATGATTACAACCTTTATAATACAAAATATTTTCTATACTTTCAGAAGAAATAACCTTGTGTCTTCTTCTTGCGAATATATTTGATAAATATAGTATGATTATAATCTGAAAAATAATGTCATTAAAATTTCAATATTTTTATCCTGATTGAGTTTTCGAGGCTATTTTTTTTAATTATTATTATTCTTAGCCAAATTAAAAAATAAGGACTAATTTTAGCGAGACTCCTACAGCAAATCAAAAACAGAGGAGGTAAGTATTTAGCAAAATGGGCAAATGTGATTGAAACTACGTACCAATTCAATAAATTTCATATCGTCTACTAAACACCTACTATAGTTCATTTATCGTAACAGGTTGTTGAATAAACACTCACTGCATTTAGCAAACATACCCTGTAAAAACAAAACAAAGCTTTAATGAAAAGTATACGAATTAACAAATATAATTAGAACATTAAAAGTCTTTTTTCACATTCGGCTTTACGATAATTAGTTTCAAAACAAAGTGTTTTTTTTACTAAACTGGTAAGAGATACGAGTTAAATTAATTACTTGTCTGTTGATCAGCTTACTTATTTGAGATCTCGACATCTTTTAAATAAATACAGCATCACAGAAACCTTTTATTAATTTCATTTCTACCTATGTGACATACAAACTAGGTATGTAGCAAATTTAGGAAATCGATGTATTTACATCTAGTTTATTTAAAAAATAAAATATTTAACACCTCCAGGCAAATTTTTAAGAAATTAATTAAATTTCTAAGAAATCTATAGTTAACTGTAACGCCGGCGTGTCCGCGGCGTGGTCGTGGGACTAATTCGGACATCTAACTCTAGTGGAACTCTTTCAATGGGCAATTAATGTGTTCAATTTTTTAACAAGTTTATTTGTAGTATGGTTCCTTTCTAATTAAGTATTGGTTTTGCTAGAAAAACTATATTTTTAGTATTAGGAGGGTTATACATGATAAGTAAACGTAAAAGCTTTGGCGTATTTTAAAATTTTAAATAACAAATTGATTAGATTCTTTGATAACTGCAATCGGCACTATCCCGTTAACAGAAGTGGCTGATATCTACAAATATATCCTCTGATATATCTTATCTATCGACTGAATTAAGTACAGAAAATACCTAATGACTCAATATTTGTCTGTATAAAATTAAAAATGTTTTTGCGCGACTATTTGCAAAACATAGATATGAGCGATTACTTCGACCTTAGTATTTATTTACAGGGTACCCCGTAGATAAACATAATTTTTTGTATGTCTGTCTGTCTTTTCATTCCGACTTATTTCAGAAACCGGCAAGACCGGTTTTTACAGAGGTTTCACTGCCAAATTAAGCGAAATTTAGTTATTGTAAAACCCACAATTACTACAGAAGATTACAAGAATACTGCGCAACGCCTTTATAAAACGTAGAATGTAACACTGCCCAACATGTTTTGGCAGGCGCTGACATAATATGTTAGCATAAAAAGAATGATTTTTTTTACAAGTCCATGAAAATTTTCTTTAATTATTTTGACAATGATCTTTTTTTGTATATTATCTGCGCTATGTTATATATATTTTTTAAAGGATAGAATTTAGACGGGACATGTGACATAGCGGAGCGAGGTTAATTTACTAGCTTAGATTAATTTTAGTTAGATGTATATTGAGGTGACTGTCAGTGGGTTTAATGTAATTTTATTGGGGTCATTTCTAATCGGGGGGCACGGCAGTGCCCCCGCCAAGTCGAGCAAAAAAGGGCACGGCAGTACCATCCTTTTCTCGAAGGGATTCAGAGCATTTTCCACCCCCCCATAACTTCGTTATGGATAAAGCTAGAAGCTTGAATTTTGAGTGACTAAGAGAACATAATAAAACTAGGTACATTTCCAAATTACATTCAATTTGAACCAGTAGTTTATGAACTGTTGCAGATCAAAATTCGTTTAATATCGTCACACTCACTCACTCACCGATCATCAAAATTCTAAGGTAACTTCTAGCAGACATAGAAGCTTCAAATTTTGAACACAATTCGTGTTTACTCTATAACCCAAGGAAAAATTCAAACATCACGCAATTTCAATCCTGTTTTCGAGATATACAACAAACTGCATCAGTAACTTTGTAATCCTATACAAATAGATATGCGATATATGGGATTACAAAGTTACTTGTGCAGTTCATACATATAATTGTCGTCACTTGCAATGTAAAAGGAGGTTAGGTTAGTGTTTAACCTGTATGTATGTTTGTATGTTCGATCCTATGTTCCCTCGTAATTACTAACCTAATCACGATTCGTCTATTTATTTATTAATGTTGATATTGCAACTATTGTATACATTAGAAAAATATTATTCAAATGTGAAAATATTATTTCAAGCGTTTTCAGTAGTTGTATACATTTTTATGCATATACAAATGGGTACATAAATACAACGTGAAGCGTGTATAGTGTATTACCAACTAATATTCGATTACCTGTTATTTTTAATGAATTTATTAAAATATATAACCTAATTACGACAAAACTTGACGATTACTTAATTTTGACGACACGTTTGGCTCAGTTTGTAGTGGCCCGGCCCTACTTTCTGTGCCGGCGGTCGCGGGATCGAGTCCCGCTGGGGGCATTCATTTGTGTGATGACTAAAGTTTGTACTCCAGTCATGGGTGTTTATATTTATAATATGTATGTATTTAAAGTTATATATGTGTAGTGTATCAACTATCTAGTATCCATAACACAAGCCTCGTAGCTTACCATGGAACTAGATGGTTCTGTGTGTTACTGTCCCATATTTTCTTTTATAAAGTATGATGTTGATTTGAAAATTAGAAAACTTGTTAACATTTCATTGCTCGTAACTGTACACACCTAATAGAACATGGAATATAGAGGTCATGAAATATCAATCTCTTCGAAAATTACTTTTAAAATGGCCAATGGAATCAGTGAATGAAGTGAGTTGGCAACCTCACTTTTCTATTAAACTGCATCAAAATTGACTGAACAAGCAATAATAATTAAGTATAACAACCTTCGGGATTTACCTACGATGCCGCAGATAGACACATAAATCTACACGTTTTATTAAACTTACGTAAGTTCAATATCAGTAATGGGAGTAGGTTTTTAGGGTCAACAATGAAATTAAAATATTCATTAAATTAACTATACATATTTATACTTAATGCATAAGATAGTAGTAATGAAGCCCAGGAATCCGCAATTTCCGAATACAATAGACTTAGATTTTTTATCATCCAGACTTGTCAAAATTTGTTATATCAAAGCCTCTGAAAAAATCTCACAGAGACAGGGAGTGGGCTTTTAAGAAGTCCTTAGCTGACACACAAGAAATAGTACAAGAAAAGGGAAAAAGAAGAAATATTTACAAAAAGAAATGAGATCCCATCAAAAACATACTGTAAAAATATTGCAAGTCTCGCAACGCATCTCTCTACCGCAAAAAGCTATGAGATATAATGTAAAACCAAGTCGGTTAATTTATTCATTACCTATCTATGAAAGCATCTATCCGACAACTTTGTCATAAATCGTTACCGAATTAGTTAAGTTACAACATTTTATAGTGACCGTATTAATATTAGATATATTTATTTCTTTAGTTAATAGAATGACTTGGCCATCGCACATGATAACAGAACCTACAAATAACAAAATTTACCTAATATTTACGATCTGAGTGCATTATTTATGTATTGTTAGTGTATGCATCAATTTGACCCGCTAGTACTATGTTCCGTTCATTTCAGCCCAAACACGTCCACAGCTGGGCATAGGCCTCCCCCAAAAATTTCCACGACAACCAGTCTTGTGCCATCCGCATTCAGTGGGCTCCAGCGACTTAGACCAAGTCGTCCGTCCACCTTGGTCATGGTATTTTTAATTAGGACTATTTAAAGTAGTAGACTCTTATGTGATTATGTTTCCGTGCGATGGCCAAGTCACTCTATTAATTAAAGAAATAAATATATCTAATATTAATACGGTCACTATAAAATGTTGTAACTTAACTAATTCGGTAACGATTTATGACAAAGTTGTCGGATAGATGCTTTCATAGATAGGTAATGAATAAATTAACCGACTTGGTTTTACATTATATCTCATAGCTTTTTGCGGTAGAGAGATGCGTTGCGAGACTTGCAATATTTTTACAGTATGTTTTTGATGGGATCTTTCTAACAAGAATATAAAAATAAAATAAAATGATCATTATCTGAAAGATACTGGATTAAAATAAATAATTTAATAAATAGCTTTTATTTATATTGTTATAGGTTGCAGCTTAATATATACTTGTGGGTGTAAGTAAAGACGGCGATAGTTTTCGATAAATGAATTCATCAATTCGATAACCTCAGGAGTTAGACATATACATTAAAGAATATAAATTAAAAATATTGTATTGAAATGTCATTCTTATACATACGAATTATATATATTTTTGTTCAACGATTGTAAAATAAAATCTTATGTAAGCCCCTCATTCTTTATCTGCATGGATTACAAAACTCCTTCGTAAATACAAAAGCTTATTAGTATCTATGACCTTCTTTAGCGCAAAGAGAGAGTGATAAAGAGTGAGGACACTAAGAAGTAAGAAGTCATGATGATGCGATGCTCACTAATTAGTTTAAGATCCTAATAATATGACATTTTTCTAGCCGCACTCTATTATAACTGAAATAAAGCCATAATCTATAAAAATGTTTCATTTTTATTAATCCCAAACCTTGAATACAACAATAAAACGGGCCATTACCATAATGACAATGAAAAAATATCGGATTTTTAGGTCAACAAATAGATGTTTTACGGAATCGTTGAACATTTTGTACTTGGTCATAAGAAATATAAATTGCTATGCAAAAGGCAATTGCACTTATTAATTCTATATAATATCATATTGATAATATAAATGAATCTATATTATAATAAAATAAAGTTTTCGAAAGACATGTGCAGTCCGCCAACTCTCACTTGGCCAGTGTGGTGGACTATGGTCTGATCCCCTTCGTATTGAAGGGAGGCCCGTGCCCAGCAGTGGGACGTTAAAAAGGGTTGAATACTATACTATAATATAATAAAGCTAAAGAGTTTGTTGTTTTGTTTGACCGCGCTAATATCTAGATTAGTCTTTGAAAGATTTTTTTTTTATTTAAGATTATACCTAGAGTATCTAACATCACTCTATATGACTTTAAGGATCGAAACAGCCTAGACTAGGCGAGCGGAGCCGCAGGCAAAGCCAATATCGTAATAAATTAAACTGCGCGCCTGCACGCTGCATCTCCATGAGTTCGAATTTCCAAACAATTATTATTTCTCACTAGTAGCCCCCACTCCCTCGTCACTAACATCGTCACTACAACCTAGCCAAAATCAAAGAGATTTGATTGTATTGTATTCGACCCATCAGAAGTTAGTGCGCCTGCGTTTGCGCAAGTATTTACGAGCTATCATATTTAGCCTTGAATGCTATAGATGAACAAAGCTATTACAACTGGTACATATATATATATATATATATATATATATATACATATTTTATATACCTATATGGTACCTAGAACTATGTACCGCCCTGTAAAAAGATAAGTACAATATTGTCTGATGATAATAAACAGTTGCAGATGGCAGGAAGAATGCCTCAGATTAGTAATACACATCATGTATGTATCTACGAGATTTTTTATTTTTTTATTTTTTCACTTCTTCGTCTTCAAAATGGAAGATTTACTAAGCTCGACTCATAGACGCTAACTGCTAAAATATTACACATGAATCATCAATGGTGTATTACACAAAATATTTCTTATTATTTTATGATTTTTTTATCGTGAATTCTTGGTTTTAGTCGATATAATATTTTTTTGAACATTTTTAAATAAGGTACTAAAATATACGTCCATATATCATACTTTATTATTCGTTCAATAATTTAAATTGACTTAGTATTTTATTCCGTAATCTGAATTTACCCAAGCATATAAAAAGAAGGTATATAATATGGAAAATAATACATAGGATAGTAAAACGGATAATAAAATAACGCAGGTCCTTTCTTTTCGTCTTTACAATCCGGCGTCACATCCTTCTCTGTTGTTCCAGGATTAATTATAAGCACTTTTTTATTACCAACAACATTTATACATATATTTGAAGTTATTATAACAATTGCAACTATATATACAAAATTAATACACATATTGTTCTTTGTTGTATTACTTTATATAAAAAAATATAAAAAAGAAATATATTGTAATTTACGTTTCTTTCGATAAAAGTAATTCTTATGATATTTTTTTAACAACGTTTGCCTTCAAGGCTTTAAATGTCATATTATCAACATTTAATTATAATTTCATCGCTTAATTTTAATGGATTTTCGAATTGATGGCTTATGATTAATTTAATATACTAGCTTTTACCTTTCTTTACCACTAATATTATAAAGAGGACCAAAAACAATTTATGCGTACGAAATATTCATTAATTTTGGAGACCCTCCCCGTCGTCTTTAAAAGCTTCGTTAAAGTATTTGAAATGCTCGCAATATTTTTTTTTAATATTAAATAATTATACGTAAGTTGTATATATGTATGTTAAGCAGCACTCATAAATATATTTTACTTTCATTTATTTATTTATTATTACTTTCATTATAAAGACAAACAGAATTATATGTATGTATATATAACTGGTAAGTGACTCTCTATATATTTTACCTATTATTAAGTTATATTATATTACACATAAATTTTTTTGACTGAACATTACATTTTGTAAATAAAACCACTACAACTAACCAAGATTGCTGTAAAATATTCGACACGTCGCGTCGGAACCTGAAAATCAAAATAAATCCGCAAAAAAAGTCCGAAAAGATAGTTTATTTATAACGTCACATATTCGCGTAAATCTAAGAAAGTATTATGTTTTCTCGTTTTTGACTGAATAAAAAAAGAAGAGCGCCTCAATTTGATGAGTTTTTGTTGTAGTATATTTTGTGTGATATCTTTGCATAGTTGATTTCTTAATTGTGAATCGATTTCCATAATTCTTTCTTAATACCTCGAGGTGATCTCTGTTGTGGCTGACATTTTGGCAAAGGAGATTGGGCAGATTTGACCCAGTCTTGATATTATGATATTGTAATCATAAATATCTATGTAAATTACGTATATACTCGTTTATGTTTTGGGAAATAAATCTTGTTTTATGGTATTAATTTAATATTAACGTAGCTTCATCAGTATTTTTGGACGAGACTAAATAAATATATTTGGTACTACCATAGCCCGCGGCTCCGCCCGCGTTCAGATGACTAAAAACCAAATTCTTAGGTTTTCATAATACTTTCTATCTTTAAGACATGTAACACCTCAGTCTCTCCCGTGACCATGGATGCTGTAAAGCATTCGAAACGTCGGGAACCAAAAATCAAAATAAATCCGCGAAATAATCCGAAAAGATAGTTTTATTTAATAATGTTCTTAGGTTTTCCATATAAGTATACTCTTACATTGCAGTGTTTGTATTTTTCTTATAAATCAGACTTTTTCCGCGGTAAAAAATATCCTATATGTTGACCCGGATAACCAGCTGTCACCATACCAAATTTCATCAAAATCCCTCCAGTGGTTTTTCTGTGATGCGGTAACAGACAGACAGACAAAAATTCTAAAAACTATAGATTCGGCCTCTGTATCGATAATAATGTCTATTTCAATAAGATTTTCCAAAAAATATTTAATTTACAGATTCATCTTGGTTACAACTTTATTATATGTATAGATAAAGCATTGTTTTATTTTTTATAACTCAATCTTCAAAATAGTTAGGTACTGGTATCAATTTTTATTTAATTCCTACCTACCTTCAAGGATAAATAAAAAAGGACGACGGTCAACGATTTTCTATAGGCACATTATATATAACTTATCCCAAAAAAATAATAATAATAATGTATTCTTAGTTCCCTCCCACACATCTACCAAAAATAAGTTTTTTTTTTTAAAATTGACGAACAAGACCTGCATAAAATGAGAAGTTTCATAACTGGCCCAATTGGGTCATGGCGCCATACAAATTTGCCCAACCCCACTATGAGACACATTCCCCAATTCATTTCCTATAAGTATACCCACAATACGAGCTTAATTATTCTGAAATAAATTTTCTTTTTTAGTCTCCTTATATGAACAAATACCAAAGTTGACAATCTTAATATATGTATGTAATTCTTTTGTACGTGTTTGTCACCTTACTCATCCTAAACGACTGGACTGATTTGGATGAAATTTTGTGTGTATATTTCAATAGGCTCCTGGATAGTTTGATAATACAATTCGACCCGGTAGGTGGCGCTACTGTTGGTATGCCACATATCTTCTCCTAAACGGCAGGGACGATTTTAATGATATGTTTTGTGTATGTTCGAGTAGGTCCCTCCAAGGTTTAAATTCACAAATGGACCCGGTAGGTGTCAAAGAGTTTGTTTTTTTAGAACTTTGAATGCACGCGAAGCCGCGGGTACTGCTAGTTTGCTTTGTAATTCGATTTAATAATACTTATCTTTACAATCGAACGAACTATAAAAATCCTATAAAATTTTCTTATTATTCAATCGTATAAGAATATTGTTGCGTTATGTTTGACGCTGTACCAACGTTATCTAACATAGTTTCATTAAATATTGGACACTATATTATATAGGAAACTATTCTATTTACATACTATATAATATGGTTATTAAATAAAATGAGGTATTTCCTCTCTAGCTCTAAATTACAGCACAGACTAAATTATGTAAAGTATAGATAAAATTTCGTATCTAAAGGTAATAAAGTTATAAAATAAATAATCATATTAGATATGTCTTAAAGTATCCTACTAGTTCCTAACATTTTTTCTATTAAAATTAGTGAAAATGTGTAAATATGTTTAAATATTAGTATTTAATTCAATACTGTCATTATAAATGTAAGCCGTTGTAATGATTTAACTACAATATTGGCATTTCTAGAATAAATCTCTGGAATAAATGTTTTTTTTTGCAACTTAAAAATAGATGTCGCTGCTCAAGAATGTTGAAAGCAAAGAATGAATTTATACGTGCGAAGCTTAGTAGTTTGATTTTTAATTCCAACTGGTGATAAATGATAATGTTGCAACAAACATAGAATTCAATACAGTTATTACCATGTTCATGAATTTTACACCAAAATAAGTTTTAACTGTACACTACGACTTTGAAATATAAACGACGTTTACAACATTAAGGGCCGCTCCACACTATAGTGCCGATCACAGTCCGTTGTCGGTCTGATATCGGTCTGGTAAAGTATTGTTACATACAAGAAACAATGAGTGCATTCACACTATCAGTAAGACTCACGTTCCGGTCGAATCACTATGTATAGCGTGGAGCAGTTAAGTCAATCAAACTTACTCTACCTATGTTTGTTTGTATCATATAAATTGCTTTTCACTAAAGACAAAAATCAAATGATTTTTATATTATACTACAATTTTAACAAAACAAATTTCATTTGGAATTATTTTTTCTATTAGATAAATGTAGGCACTTGACATTAATAAAAATAATAACTTATTGTTGTAGATTATTTACAGGCTGATCATGATCGACTATAAAGTTTATGATGATTTTTGCCTCTTAGGCTTGTGCAAATCGGCAGATTATTAAATTGGACACTTTTCAGGATGTGACTAGCCTACCACACCTTAATCTGACGGTTTCAAGTATTTCTACCTTATCAAAACATTTTTTAAATATTTTAATCGGCTTCCCTAGACGCGCCCCTTTATATAGAAGACTTATATTGTGGTGAAAGTACTCAATAGAGTGCAAGGTAACCTCTTTTGCGCTCGATCTTGGGCTCCCCTACTATTACTGCCACCTGCTCCAGAAAAATTACTCAATACAATTTTTTGTAATTGCAAAAAAGGCTGCACAAACAATTGCGGGTCCAGAAAAGTTGGATTGTATTGTTCATCGGTATGTACCAATTGTCGAGGCCAATCTAACACCAACATTGAATCAAATGCAACAGATGAAGATTGTTTCGAAATTGATGAGGATATAACTGATATATCTCTCTTCTTGGAGCAGTCTACACAAATCGAGCAAGAAGAGGAAGAAGACAGTGAAGAGAAAGAAACGAGTGACTATGAAGAATTTGATGATGAATGATGATGTAATTTTCTTGCTGTTGAAATTTTCATTAAATTTAAATAAAAAAAAATTCATCAATAAAATAGTGTCCCATTCCATTCCCTCGATCAAAATATATTGTGGAGTATTTCTACTGGGAAACCACGTTAAAAAAAAGCGCCGTGTACACTACCTCAGAGGTGGTGCGGAAATGTGTGCATATAGTCGAAAATACGATTTTCCTGCGGTCTAAAATCACGATATCTCGAAAGCAATGCTTTGTAGAAGAAAAGTGTTAAGATATTTTTTGTATTTTAAATAAATCTTTTCGGATTTTGTCGCGGATTTATTTAATTAATTTTTTTTAATAAAATCTAATAATAAATCTAAACACAACAGACAGGTAGATGTAGTAAGTTCTTACTGTGTAGATCAAAATGATAGCATTTCTGATTAATAATATTTTTTCACTTTTTCATTTGTAAATGTATGTAGTAATGTGTTGCTTAATAATTTTTTTTTTTAAATAATAGCAAATTTAAATTAAAATTATTATTTTTAATTAATCTTAACTTTTTCAAATTACACATAGATCAATTGTGGCTTAAATAATTAATATATTATGATTTTTCTTTATGGTTATAAATATAATAATGGCAACACTAAAAATGTAGATTAATAATTATTATTTTTTAAAATTGTAATAATTATAATAATAACAGCTCAAATTAAATAATTAAAGCTAATTAAAATTATATAAAAATATTTAAAGTTAAAAGTTAAAATGTTGTAAGGTACTTTAGTGCCATTTTTCAATTTTTTTAATTCATTTTGTTAATTGTGGGTAGGCTGTCTGTAACAACTATATAATACCACAACCCAGTCTCTCCCGTGACCATTATTGCTGTAAAGCATTCGAAACGTCGGGAAACAAAAATGCAAATAAATCCGCGACAAAATCCGAAAAGATAGTTTTATTTATAATGTCAAATATTCGCGTAAATCTAAGAAAGTATTATATTTTTTGTAGACAATTTTACGATCTATAAACTTTGTTCGAACCATTTTTCGATAACTCTCGTTATTTCAGAGATATACGCAAAAAACGCAAATTTGTGACCTTTGACCTCGAATAAAAAACAACGCACAAGCGGGATCGATGGGGACTTTTGACATATCATTTGTAATGACGTATTCAAAGCCCACACAAAAATCCAGCTTGTTGGGAATTAATGCAAACTTGGATCATAATTTAGTCTATTTTGACTGGACTAAATTGAAAGTTTAAATATTCATAATAATTTTATCATCACCCTAGAAAAACACGAAAAGTTTACTTGAAATGATATAAACCCTTATTCTAACAAATTATATAAAATGAAAAATTTAACACAAACAGTATTCCAATTAGAGCAATCATGTTTAATTTATTCTAACTTTTACGAAAACTTTTAATGATTTTACTTCATTTACGTAATGTATTCGCAAATACTTTTATTGTCATAGATAGAATTAAAATAATTTAAAGAATCGTTTTCTAAAACGTATCTATTTCAATGTTATGATAGAATTGTGCAAAATAATGCCAAGTAGAGTATAATTAATTAAAAAGGCTGTATAACGAGAGATCTGTACCTCACTGTTAAACAAGTACATGGACGACGCGCATGCGTCGCGCGTCTGCCCGCGCTTTTTTTACGCGCCAATTTGTATCAAAATATAAAACACATTTATTGTATTATAAACATAATATCATAAAATTGTCAATATAAAAATATTATTAATTATTATTTATGTGATTGTAATGCACTAGAATAGTTACAAATATTAAATCTAAAAAAAATAGTGATGGAATCAAATAAGAATAATAGGACTAAGTGGTGTGCAGTTGTAAAATTAACGACTTTAACAGTTTATGCGGGTTTGATATTATTCTGTGTGCCAGTTTTATGTAACATAGGTAAGAAAAAAATTCTATTCAGCCAATATCCATATATTTTTTTAAATAATATTTAATATTTTTATATATTTTATAAATATTCATACAACAATCATCTGCGATGCCTATGAAATGTATATAGTAAGCTATCATATTATTATTTATCCTCCAAAAAATATATATGAAACTGAGTTACTGAGCGTATTAAAAATTCAACTGTACAATAATTTGGCATTGCATAAGTTATTATATCACTAAACATAATCAATGTCGTGCGATCGCTACGCCATGATAAATCGTGTAATCTATTGACAATTACTATTTCACACGGTTTATATGAATGTAGCTCAAGAACATCATGGGCATAGTATTTTATCGTTGTCAATTACAACTTATTCATAAGGCTTATAGCTTAAATAGCCTTAATTTTTCAAGAGTATTGTAGGTTTGTTTTAGTATAAGAATTTTTAGAATCGACTCAGTAGTTCTAGAGATTATTCCAGCCAGAGATTATAAGCCTGCAGTCAAATAGAAAATAAGCTAAGAACAGTGGTAGCGATACCTAGTTATCATTTTTTAATCGTATAGTTGAGAGATGGATTTCAATAATTTCATAGGATAAGTAAATTTAAAAGTCTAATCCTATTTTTAATATTTCTTCAATATTCTTAGTACTATTTAACCAATTATAATAAAGATTAAATTAAAATAACATAAAAAAAACATGATTATTTTCTTAAGAATATGCTTGGATACTTATCATAAAAATGTTCATCGATCACTCTGAGATAATAGGAAGAATAATATGAAGATATAATAATTAATGTACTATATTAATTATACATAGAAGTACTCTAGATCATTTTGACAGAATAACTAATATATTAAGAAACTAAAACACTATTTAACACTTAGGAGCCAATATAAGAGAATGCGAGTAACAATGTAAATAAGTAGTTATATCAATATAATACTCGCATAAATAAATAATAAACATAAGACATTAAGTATGCAAAATGATATATTAAAATAAATGATAAATAAAATAAAGCTTCAGGTTTCAGGCCACTTTTATTTCTCATTTCTTTTCTCCGGGGTACTATAGTATTATCCTTAACTTTTTTTATTATTAATTATCAAATAATATATGAAAAAAAAAATCATTACGATCCAAAAGATACAAATCTTTAAAAGTAATGTACGGATATATAGCGTAATATCCTGATGATCCTTCAATACGGGCTCAGTATCAAAAATCAAAATTATATTTCAAGACTTATGTACATATTAGCACATTGTATTCTAACATAGTGGTAATACCTAAATTTACTGTAGTAAATAAAAGTTCATTTAAATTAGCTCTGACGAAAGTTTTTGTAAAAGTTTCAATAGCTCAAATGGTGCTTGCCAATAAAGCTATTATATAGATTAACTGTTACGAGATGTTATTTCGACACTACCAATTGATCAAAATTTTATTACATAACTATAAAAACAACAAACCTCTTACCGTATCTCAACTCATGTCTCTTGACTTTTCAAGCCTGGTCCCCTCGTATTGGAGGGAGGCCCAGCAGTGGAACGTTAAAAAAAGCTGAATACACACATACATAAACAAAATACTATTCTATCTTTGCTTGTTTTCCTGCTTCTTTACTTCCTGTATTATTATTCCGATTGCGATGAAACTTTAGTGAATTATTATACCTTTGCAAGGCCGCCAGTTTCTGGAACAGGACCTACCATTAATGTACAATAGGTGGCGCATGACGCTCTTTAATTAATTTGAAATGTAATAGTCTGAATGAAAGACATATCAACATGCATATAATATTATGTATAAGTGACGTATGAAGATCACTTTTAAGCTGAGCGAACCCATAATGTCCAACAATATTTGTGACAAGATTATCTATACATATAATAAAATTCTAACTGAGCCGAATCTGTACATGAAATATTTTTTGAAAAATCTTATTGAAATAGACATTATTATCGATACAGAGGCCGAATCTATAGTTTTTTTTTATTTTTTGTCTGTCTGTTACCGCATCACAGAAAAACCACTGAAGGGATTTTGATAAAATTTGGTATGGTGATAGCTGGTTACCCGGGCCAACATATAGGATTCTTTTTACCACGGGAAAATGTCTTATTTCTGAGAAAAAATACAAAAACTGCAAAGTAAGAGTATTCTAATATGTAAAACCTAAGAATTTGGTTTTTGGTCATCTAAACGCGAGCGAAGCCGCGGGTAATGCTAGTAATAACCTAGTGGTCACAATTTGGACATAATCATTATTAAAAACTTGAGAGAAATATATATGAACTAGCATTGCCCGCGGCTCCGCCCGCGTTCAGTAGACCAAAAACCAAATTCTTAGGTTTACATTTTAGTATACTCTTACAATGCAGTTTTTGTTTTTTTTCTCAGAAATGAGATATTTTCCTGCGGTAAAAAGTATTCTATATGTTGACCTGGAAACCAGCTATCATCATACCAAATTTCATCAAAATCTGTCCAGTGGTTTTCTCGTGATTCGGTAACAGACAGACAGACAGACAGACAGACAGACAGACAAACAAAAATTCTAAAAACTATATATTCGGACTCTGTTCATAGACAGACAGACAGACAGAAATTCTTAAAACGATAGTTTCGGCCTCTGTTAGCGATAATAATGTGTATTTCAATAAGATTTTCGAAAAAATATTTAATGTACAGATTTGACTTAGTTAGAATTATATTATATGTATAGATAACACTGTTATTCCTTCATAAAACCTTCTTTATTATTTAGTTGAAGAATAACCAAAAGGATCAATCCACGTGTGTACATAAACGATATAGGAAATCCAAATCGTATAACAAGCAAATAATGAAGCGATTACTATGCACTAGTGAGATCTTAGCAATCAGCATGTCATTTCCTTGACAATCCAATACACTTGAATATGTTCTTATATGTCCTTTGACGTGAGAAGAACTCACAAATAAAAAATATTCAAGGGCTCACAGCCTTCCAAAGGCATTTTTAAATATATCAAGAATATAAAATTATGTAAAAATTACACCATTTTAAAACATTTTGAGGTTAGGCCATTTTTGTTATGAAGGTCAAGAATGAATATTATAAGGAACTAGATAATGATGTTTTTATTACGCCAAAGTTGATTAAGCTAACTTAACTATTACATTTTTTAAAGTCTTATGGAAAACCGCTTGTCAATACACAATTACGAGTAAATTAATACTTATTATTATTAAAACATGTTATTTTATTTGTTTTTTTTTTAATATTGTTTATCTTATATCTTTAAACGAGCAATTTTTGTATATATATACACACATATAGTCACTTTCACACTTTCATGAAATTTTGTACACAGAGGGTTTCGGGGGTGGTAATTCGATCTAGATTAGTCTTATGTCTGAGAAAACGCGTGTTTTCGAGTTTTCATGCAGTTTTCTTTTGCATTATTCCACGCAAAATATGGTCGATAATTTCGCATGCTTGGGCATATAAACCTCATGGTCAAACGGCCAAGGCGCAAGATTGACAATCATAGGTGTCCGGGTCTGTATCCCGGTCGGATACAAAGGTATAATTCATTTTTGTTTTTTTTTTGCCTATTTAGGCAGACCTGCCGCCGGGGCGCCGTAGTAGTTATGCGCAAGCGATCCTGCGGCGTCCCATTAAGGCGGAGGGGAGGGGAATGTCGGGTTTTAGTGGGTAGTACCGGCTCTTCTAGCCGGTGAGCCCCACATCACCACCTGGGGGATCAGGTGGTATGCGTAAATGCATTTCCCGACATAAAAAAAAAAAAAAAAAAAGGTACTAATTAAATAACAATGTTACCCATTTGAATATAAAAGCAACCCGAGTTACCCAAGACAATGGAATGTCATTCGAATCTCATATGCTATGGACCTTTATTAGACCACGCGTTGCATTCCCTTGACTTGCTTCTGCACTTCATCTTCATTAAAGTAATTATTCATAGTATTAAGATTATAACAGTTTTACTTAATTTAAAATTTAACTTTGTACACACAAATGGACAGTGACTCGCACTGTAACATAAAATATTTTATGTTTTACCATACGTAATATGTAGTAAAATTTTATTTAATATTATTTTACAGTTTTTTTAGTTATACAAAACTATCCCATATTTCAAAATAATTTTTGTTGAAAATATTTTTAAGCTCTACTAACCGATTTTTTTTAGAATTTTCTATTCCATACTTTAAAAGATAAAGATTAACACAATGTTTACGTCTGTTGAAGCTATAACTCGGCAACTATTAGCTTGAACAAAAAAGTGGTCCAAATACATTTATCTCAATTTAAAAAACCTATCCGTAACTAAACATCAGTCTAATAGCTCAAACAGTCTCTAAGTGAAATAACTGTGGCATATAGACAGACGGACATGACGAAATTATAATAGTCTCGTTTTGTCATATGGCTACGGAATCCTAAAAATTAAATTACATTAACTGGCGCAGTAGGTTGTATGGTCTTAATGTCGAACAGTTCGTACGATAATTTACTATCCATATATGTATTTATGGACAACACCTATGGCCATTTTCGTATTATTTCATAGGTCACTGAAATAAATGAATTTAAATTCCGGTATCTTGAAAAATTGTTATCACACGCTATTTGAATGGGTTAATTTAAATTATAGATCAATGGTAACGCTTTTGCTTGGAAAACCAAGTCACTCAAATTGTAATTTTAAATTGGTCACATGAGAATCATTTTTAATACAATTTAATACACTTTATGTACCTAAATAATTTTTGGAAACACGTGTCTTTACATGCTCTTTAGTTTAGAATTATGGCGTGCACTCTACCAGTGAGAGCCTAAAAGGGGGTCTAACTATTAATAATATTTAAAAGTAAAAAATAAACGAGATCGCAGACGACTTCTAGTTAAGTTTAACGAAAATCTGAAAAATAAATACATATAGCTAATACAACATTAACATATTTTTATAACTTTAAA